ACTGTGTTACATCTTCGATCGACCACACAAACGGCATCAATGTGATACCCAAGCACATATATGATGCATTGTGATACCATTGTAGTATCACCGGAGGACGGTGGCCGGAGAGAGAAGAGAGGAGGAAGGAAAGTTTTAAAATACAAAAAATATCCTTGCATTAATATTTTAATTCAAAATTGTTAAAATTATAAATTTCCTAATTTATCTATTGATTTGTGGTTAATATTGGTTCTCACAGTTACCACAAACTAATCAGTTCTCATTTGATTAAGCCCCTATATATATATATATAGGGGCTCATTCAAGAGAGAACTGATTAGTTTGTGATAACTGTGAAATCCAATCTCAACCATAAATCAACGGATAAATTAGTAAATTAATAATTATGGTAATTTGAGTTAAAATTATAATTAGAGGATATTTTAAGTATTTTTAAAAAACTCCTCTCTCCGGCCTCCGGTGAACATTAATCCAGCAAGTATCAGGTAATCACAAAGATACATAATGTGATACCCATTGTGATATACTGTGATATCATTGTGATACCAACTATGATACCAACTCAAACCTTAAAAACAAAGATACACAATGTGATACCCATTGTAATACACAATGTGATACCCATTGTAATACACAATGTGATACTCATTGTGATATACTGTGATACCGATTTCACCGGAGGCCGGAGATTGGAGGTCGGAGAGAGGAGAGAGGAGTTTAAAAAAAAATACCTAATATGCCCTCTAATTACAATTTTAACTCAAACTGCCATAATTATTAATTTATTAATTTATCCGTTGATTTGTGGTTGAGATTGGACCTCACACTTACCACAAACTAATCAGTTCTCATTTGATTATGCATATATATATATATATATAGAGAGAGAGAGAGAGAGAGTTTGTTTCAAATACAACCTGTYGCATTTGTACAACCAATGCAACCCAATAAATTGAGATATTTATGGAAATGATGAGAGTTCATTTATTATGATTTGAATATTTATGAAAGATGAATATGGTTCATTAATTATGATCAATACTTTATATTAAGAAACAATTAAAACTTCTATGAAATCACATATTAATCAAATGAAATGGACGGTTGAGATTGGGTTGTATTGGTTGCACAAATGTCAAGGATTGTATAATAACCAA